ATATAGACTTATTCTATAAGTAATTAAAGAGTAGTCTTAGTTAATCTTTCTTTTTAAGCACCTATTTAAGATTCTAATAAAAGGTAATACGTTTTAACTAGTTATAATAGTTTGTAAGCAATTATACGCTTAAGAAGTTTTCTTATTATATTTAAGAGAGTAATTAGATAATAAGTCTTTAGATTAGTATAGTCTCCTTTATTTAGTTTTCTCAGGACAAGTGTAATTGCTTTCTTTTAAGTATTAATATAATACCCTAATTATACTAAGGCGTTAAAGATCATAATCAGCTATAGGGCTAGCCACTCCTTTATCGCCTTTAATACTTTATTAGGTATCCTGTTTAGTCTAGGTGCTTTGTCTTTTGTGACTCTATATATTGCCTCTCGCACTTGTGCTTTACTTATCTTTGAAATAACTTATAACAGCTTAGGATAGTCTGCGTCTTAAAGATCCTCTAGATCTACTAGCTAGGCAAGAATTTATTATATTAGAGTTTAGTATATCTATCTTATCCTAGACCTTTAACCTAGTTTCTAATTTATTTAACTATTAAGGTATGACTTATATAGCTTACTAAGTTATAAATGCTTTATTATCTTATATACTTTATTTATTCTTAAAGTTTAACAAGTATATATAAGTAGTTATACATAAGGTTACTTGTTCTTAAGGTTTAATAGGGCCTTACTAAGCTTTGTTTCTCTTAAGAGGTTGCTTACCTACAGGTCTTTCTAAAGTTTACTTTACTTAACTTAGAAGTAACTCTTTGTAACTAGTCGTCTTAAAGATTAATCTTTATAATAAAGGGTAACCTAAGCCCTCCTTACTTAGGTAAATCCTTGTTTGCTTCTTAAGCATATAATATAGATGTGCAGCTAGAACGATATTACTTTAGTTTATATATAGAATATATACTTCTTATAGGCTTTTAATATAAATAAGATAGCTGTTTCTGACTCTTTTATATATTAATATATATATCTATTCTCTTAAGCTATATAAATAGTCTTATAATAGGTCCGGACTAATCCTTTAAGAAGCTCTGTCTTTATTTAGTAGCTACTATTATATATTACGCCTTATAAAGGCCTTTATACTTAAATTACTCTAGAGCGTAATAGCTTTTTATTTCGTATTACCTAAAGAGTCTCTTCTTTATAAACTAACTATGTCTTACAGACAATCTATATAGTATATATATATATACTAGCTATATATAAACTTCTTATTAACTAATTAAACTTGTGTCCTTATTATTATAATAGATGTGTATATATAACTGCCTATAGTTGTGCTTTAATAAGGTTTGTTCTAACTTGTTATAAATAGTTTCGCATCTGTAGACTGTCTATAATCTTAAGGGTGACTTATATAAAGGAGGGTGCCTATAATTCTCAGAGTAGTGCTTATAATAGAGCCTTAACAAGGTCTCTAAGCCTTAACAAGGTTCTTTATAACTTGTTAAATCAAGTCTTAATAAAGTTCTTCTAGATGTTAGTCTATTTGTCTGTATTAATGATTCTTACCTCCTTGCTAATACGTGAACTCAGAAGATAACAAGTACAGGGGTGTCCTGTCTCTCTACTAGGATGATACCACTTTCCACTAGATGATAAGACTAGTTTCAGGGCCTGAGTACAAGTCAGGTAGTAGAGAGTCAGGTGGTTTTCGTATCCTAGTATCCCCTGATTTGTTGTGGTGTACGGTCGGGCGCGTTTGGTTGCGAATCGTACACGTTAAGTCTGCACAACCACGATGGATTCAGTTCAGCTTCCTCTCGAGAGAGTACTGACGCCGGACACCACAAGAAGGTATGAATCCTTTGTCCCAACTGCGTCGACAACGCGTAGTCGCTCAGTATAAGCTCACTGAGGGCGCTTAATAGTAATTATTCTTTATTTTAGGCTAAAGCTCTTTTTTAATCTCTTTATTATTAATAATATCTTTATTATATTTAGAGTCTTTCTAATAGGCTTACTTAAAAAATATCTTTATTAAATTTAGCTTTAATATTAAGAGTAAAAAAGTAATAAGGATAGTAACAAAAAAGGACTAAACTAGTAATAAGGAACAAGAGGAACGACCTAAGGTAAACAGACTGAGGGAAAGAGGTCTTCTTAAAAGTCAAGTGAAACCAGCAGAGAGGAAGAGAGAAACATTTCAAAGAGCGAGTCACTAAGCAACAGGAGAATCCTTCATCTCTCGAAGACCCACCGGCAATGCAAACGGGAGTAGAGGCGTGTTGGATGATGGGACCGATTTTGGGCCCCAAGTCCATAAACTGGGCCCCCTGAGTATCGTCATCTAAACTTGACTGGAAAAGACATGACACGACGATGAGACCACGATGCATGATTGGCTTATAGGGGCGGAAGGAAAAGGTGACTGAGCAAGACCTGAGCAACCTGAGCAGCCTGAGCAAGTAGGTGAGCAAGCTGCGCCGAGGATGAGCCGAGGATGGATAGCGCCTGAGCAGGGCGGCGATGCTGACTAACCCGATGGAACTTCACTAAAAAAAAATCTTATGTCCTATTACCCAAGTAAGACCTCCCTTCTCCGCTGGCGACTCTTCGCCATTCGTCTCTCTCTGGACCCAGCACCACGTTGTTCCACCATAGCAGCGCTTTCGCTTGATTCCATCGTGAGAACCTTGATACCCACACCAGAATTGAACGGCAATCCTATTACCATTGAAGCAGAATAGTTGCTTGCGCGCAAGGAAAAAAGGACTTCTCTTTAATCCATTTGGCGCGTAGGAAGGCCACTCTCTCATCGGTGCCTCGAAGCATCGTCAGTGTGGAAAGATGCTGGCAGGCATAGGCCAGTGGAGTTTACAGACCTCAGTATGAATTTATCTTTGTTGCCGCAAGATACAATCCGTTGTTTATTCCCTTGGCAACACGCTCAGGATCTTGACTATCCCATAGTGAGCCTGCGCCAAATTAGGTGCGGTCTCCCGGCTACTCTCCTTCCGTGAATGGGAGGTTGTTGAACGGATACCATGTCTAAGAAACTCTCTAGCTTAACAGGAAGAACGATGTTATTGTGTTAGAAATTCGTTAGGCTCAGGTGGAAGCTAGTCCCGAAGATTTATTCCAAATGTGGTAATCCAGTCGGGGCCAAAAAGGGGAGTTCTAACCTAATGACTACCTAGACTTAGATCTCATGCTTATCTAGGATTACAAAAAGAGGGGGGAAGGGAAGTGCAGAGCAGAAAGAAGGCCAGATGACAGCGACAGCGGCAGGGTATCCATCAAATCAAACAAAGCAAATTGAGGCCTTGATTAGCTTTGAATATTTAATCAAAACCCTTGATATGCTTGTTTAACTACTGGTACTAGTTAAACAAAGCAAAGTAATTTGTCCAGTCGAGTCAAACCATACTTAGTAAGCAATATATATCTAACGTTAGGGATTTACTTGTGTTGGATAGGTAGAAGAAACAGCCCTTTTCTCTCTCAAAAAGGCGTAAGGCGCGCAGATATAAGTATAAATTGCAGGGAGATTCAAGTTAGCAGCCAGGTTCCGGCGAAAATGACCAATCAAAACAAGGCAAAACGTAAGGTAATGCGTAGAAATGGCGTCTGACAACTTGAATTCTCGTCCAGATCAAGTGTCCGCCAAGACTATTATCATTCCATCGAAAACATCTTTTGAATATTTCAAAGTAAGAGACCTTTCTGTCAAGACTTCAGTTTGACTAGTAATTTGTCAAATCCACAGAGGCTGATTTGCTTTGAACGAAAGCACAGATTTGATTTGATTTGCCAAGCATTTGATTTGTTTTGTTTGACTGATTTGATTTGATGGTCCCAGCGGTCATGTTTTGCACCCGAGAAGAAGTGACATCATCTATCTATAAATTATTCACAGGCCTTGGACCGACTCTCTGAGGTTAGATGAATGAAAACAATCGGTTCTAAGGTGTCAGAATCCCTGCGTATATGATACGTATCTGTTACGTATTAGCATGATGGTACAAGGGTCCCCGCATGCAAAACGCACGAAACGCTCTTGTAACTGTTACGCCCTGTTATTTATGGCAGTGAGCATTGCTATACGAATTGAACGCCAAATACTGTTTCGGGGGGGTGGCAGAGGGGGGGATGGGGGGGGGTTAGAAGGAGCAAATGCTCCTCTTGATAGGAGTAACTCAATGAAGTGAATTGGCACCTCCGTATGCTATTTTGCACCAACTTCTAACATAAGGTGTTCCACTCTCGTCATCACCACCCACGTGGAGAATACTTAGTACAAACTGTAATACCGCAAGCTATAGCAGGCTGAATTGTAACCTAGTGCTACAATCGCTACCACTCCAAATTCTCTCACCTCAAACCGCAACACTGTAAACTACAGTAGGCCGAACTGTAGTAACTACAACGGCAAAACTGGTGGTAGATTCCGGTGCGAAGAAGGCCCAGAAATGGATCTTCCTTTGGGAGGTCTGAGTACTACTTCAGAGCTGAACCCTTCCTTGGCCATAACTGAACCAAAACAGTCCATTCTCCGTACCAGTCTCCACCACCATGAACTATCTCTCTGCTCCAGCAATACTAGCACGGGCCTCATCTCCTTCTTCGTCAAGGTTGCCGACAGGGAGGTTTTCGACCGCAATTGGTGAGCCTTCTCCCTTTTGCTGCCTGTGTCCATCTTGCTCGCTCTGTTCCACGTTCTGTCGAGTTTCTTCGACGGGCACCTCTTCGTCGTCTGAACCAGGCTCGCTGGAATCTTTCGCAACTGGAAAAGCAAAATCTTCGGAATCCGAGGTACTTGAAGAAACCGTCTCCGAGGAGATGGAACCCACTTCAGAGTTGTACTCAACCGTGGAAGCCTCTGTACGTGCCCAGAAACTCCATCCCCGCCCATATTTCTTCCTTCTTGTAACAAGTCTCGACCTCCATCTAGAAGCTGCAAGGTTTTCCTCTATCTGAAGGCGGAAGTCGTGATCTGTTTGAGGAGCATCGATGCTCGCGGTTATTGAGTCTCTGGGTGGCCTCTTTTTCCTTCGATATGTGTCTGAAGATGACTTCATTAGTCAATAATTCTCGCAGGAAGTCCCCAGAGCGCAATTTACCTGGATAATCCTTCAGCAGATTGCGCGGGAATCCGCCGATAGGGATCAAGCCCCCCTTTTCCATATGCAGCACCATAAATATGTTGGTCTCAGCTATCGCGCTCGAAATTGAAATGTCAAAATCGGACATCACAAAAACACCGTGGTTTCGCATATCTTCGATGACCTTATCTTCTATCTCATGCACATCTTCAGCCCCAAAGTCTGCTACATGGGTCTCGTTGACACAGAAGCAAAGTCCTTTTGAGCCTTCTTTTCTTTCTTTTTTGATATCTTGAAACAGACTCCACAAGAGCTCACCGAAGTTCTTGCTTATCTGACTTCTAGGCGGAAGACGACATTGGATGCGTCCTGTGCAACTTGTCAGTCAGTGGTAAAAGCGAGTGCCTTTACAGGGGTGACGAGCCTGTGCATTTCCAGCCCTGCCCTGTCTCATTTGAGGTCTCATGAAGGTCCTGCTTGTCGAACTGGTAATAAAAGCATGAAGCCACAAGTTGGTTTGCGATGCTGACAATTTGTTCCTTCTCTTCCTTCAAGTATTCAATTGTCAGATCTCTGAACTTGTCTAGCTCTTCCACGAGATCCATTTCTGGCTCGAAATCCAACGGGACGTTAAGCCTCCTGTATCTGTGAGCATGTTCCGGTGGAGGCATCTTCGTGCTTATCCAATACTTCCATGCTCTTTCACAGGCCAACTGGGTTTTGAGAATATCCTCTAAGAGTTGCTGCATCAACTTTTTAAATGCCCAGATACCCTTAGACCCTGCCGTAGCAGGGCTGTCAGTAGTCCCCAGCTCGTTTTTGAAAAATGCCGTGCCAATTGACAGTAAGATATCGGGATGGCGGTATTTTTCTTGCGGCCATATTTGCTTTGATTCGGCATCTGCAATGCTGATTGGATTGTTGTGGTATATTCCACCGTCCAGATAGACTTGTTCGGAAAGCTCGTGGTTGAACTCCTCAAAGTAAGTAGGCGCAGCGGAGGTAGCGCGCGCACTTCAACAGTTAGCAACCGGTGCAGCCAAACGATGAATAGACGATACCTTTCCCATGTTTTGAACTCTTCTTTTGCGCCTTCAGCGCGATAGAACGTGTAGAGTACTTGGATATAATTAGCCTATGGTATGGTGCTTCCTCATTCGAAGTTCTACTTACGACCCTTGGAAACTCTGCGGTTGTAGTTACTGATAAGCGTAACTTGACCTCGGGGATTCGTCGTAACCACAGCAGCTTTCGTGCGCACGGCTTCCGAAGTGTTCGGGTGGCCAAATAAGAGGACCTTATCAGAGAAAGCTTTCTTGAACGCTTCCTCGAGAGGAGAAGTGCGGTATTTTCCATGGTTGATTGCAATGGTTGCCTTTTCAGCCCAGGATGGACCTCGATGCTTAGTGAATGCCTCTGTCGAAAGCTCTCTGAAAGTCTCTGTGCATTTTGAAACATTCCAGCCTTGTTGGCCAAGCCCCAGAGCTATGATGCCACCAGTACTAATTATATAAGTGGTTGCAAAAATGCTCCGAAGAAGCGCAAACACTCACCTAGTCCCGATAATGAGATCGAAGAACGCCTGAATGGGCACTTTGTTACCCAAAGTTTCTTCAATCTCTTTCAGTATAGTCAACTCTACTATACCCCGAATTCCGCCCCTTGCATCCGTTCCGTTAGTCGAAGTCTGAGCTCAGTAGTGGTCCACTTACCCGTCCAAGGTCAACACACGCACACCCGCTTGGTCCGGTTTGATAGAGGCAAGGTATTGGCTCTCATTCCACACTTCTTTATGCCGGCTCAACGGGCAGCTGTCCATCTTGATGAAACCTGCTCCAAGTGGTGTTCCGAAGGCTGCGGTGCAAGGAGTACAAATGATATGTCCGCATGGCAACACATGCTCAGGGGATTCCAACAAACATGAGAAGCAGGTTGTGTGGCTCTTGAATGGAGCACCTTCTCCCCATTCGCAATAGAGTTCATCCAGGTTCCTTTGGTGACATTGATAGACCTTGCGTAGATGATCCTCGTCAGAACTGGGATCTCCTTGTTGAAGACGAAAGTCTGGTGCAATGCCTTGCAGCTCGCCAAGAAGACACTTCTTCACACTCTGCTGTACCGCTTCCAAAGTTTGATTACACTGCCAGACGCCGCCCTCAAGCTCTCCGTCTTTCGATTGATGGCCTTTCCGATGGGCATTTTGGACATTCACACAGCGCTTGATCCTAGGGCTCGTATACTCACAGGGCCAGTTCCTATCATAGAAGTCCTTAAGAGCCTTTGAACAATGATCCCAGTACTGGTTGAAAACTGAGTCTGAATTGCCTAACAAAACGGCGTAAGTAGAAGCATTACGAACCGAAATCGAACCTTACCGAGACCCTTTACGCTTCTTTGATATGCGTTGAGCAGGAAACAGGATGCGATGACACGACTGATCTTCTGCCAGACAAGCGAGCCACTATGATCCTCAAGCAGCGGCTGCACCGTGATCGCCAATCGTAAAATCCCATCGCGCAAACCAAAGGTGGGCGAGATCGGATTGATGTCGAATGACGCCTTGACAAAGTCAAAAGGCTTGTCAGCGTAAGTGGCGAAGTGGTCGAAAGCGTTCCTCAGATATAGATGGAGTTTGACAGCATCGAGTCTCATGCGGCATTGGCGTCTCCGCCCTTGGGATTCGTTGCACTTTGCGGATATCATGTCGTAAAGCTTGGAAACTTGCTTCTCCAGCAACTCGGGATCATGTAAGATGGGAATGCGGATAACCTTGACGCTTGCGTAGTAGCACTCAAGAAGATCCTTGCTAGTCCTGATGTTCACATTGCGCTTAGTCCAGAAGGCAACTTTCTCCTTGAGCTCTTTTTTCTTCTCTAGAGCCTTGTTAACCGCCTCCAGTTGTGTATTCGTGACAGAATCGGGGTCCCATCTGTCACTCTTCCCACTGTTGCTTGTTCCCGCTTTATTCAACACAATGACCGCGTGCGGAAGAACGGATTGATTGCAAGATTTCTCAATTGCTCGATGAGCCCAGTCAACCAATTTGACGACGACTTCCTCAAATTTCCTGTCCAATGTTTAGCCAATCCAATCTAAACGCATTGAAATCTATACGCACCTCGAATTCTCCTGAACAAAAACTACCACATCTGAGAACGAATAAAAGAGGCGAGGATAGAGACCCTCCACCACGCTCTGCCTTTCGCAATCTGCCCAGTTTATATGCTTCGGGGTGTATCTATCGACTCCCTCTAGGAACGGCTGTATTTTCTTGTTGAGCTGTTCCGATGCACCCACAGGATCGAAGTCTGGGGCACCAAATCGAGAAGCGAGTGGATCTTGCTCGCCTCCTCCAAACCCTTCACAATCCGCATACAGCATGGGACAGTCGCCAGAACTCTTGTCAGAAAGTGTTCTTGGATCCGCATAGAGGTGAACATCCGCTGAGGTAGGGGTTTGCTCGTCATCTTCGCATCCAACGACGGGAGTTGATCGTTTTTGAACCGGGTTCTGCCGTAATGGAAATGTGCTTTTCTGGTAAACGAAACCGGGAAAGCTGTCGGCAGACCACAGTCCTACCTCGATGAGGAGCTTGATGAGAGCGCTTTTCCCAGCCCCTAGGATTGTGGCCGATCAGGATCTATCTATTTGATCATCTAAGAGTTCGCCTTACCTGTGTCTCCTACGAATGTAATCAGGCCAGGATAGATTCCCCATGGTTGTATTGCGGGATTTTCGAAAATCAAATCTTCGTACACAGAACCCTCATGGATGAATTGTTTCTCATCTTTCTCGGACACTCCAACCCACAGGGTGCGTGCGTCCTCCTTGTGCAGGGTTTCCTGCTGTTCAACGCTTCTTGTCGGCGGATCGAGAATGCCTTTCAATAAGGCTGCAAGTCCGGGGTCGCTTTGTTTGTGCTTTAATTCGGGATTCTTGTGAGGTTCAACCTTCTTCCAACAATTGTCACAGTAGTTAGCTCTACAGTCGACACAGCGAAAGACGCGCGGTAATGGAGCCAATTGAGCATCGCATTCAGAATGCTGACAGGAGCGGGAAGGATTAGTAAGAGATTTGGTGGTAAGTTCAAACTGTGCCAGGAGCTCTGTTGTGAGACTATTACTTATATTAGGGAGCAGAAGTCCAGGAACCATGGCCATTGCCGCGAAATGGGTCTCAGCCTAGTCTGACGCCTGTCACCTTTCCATGCGCGAATTCCACATCCCACGGGCCAGATAAGTATTCTTTCTGCCAAAGAGCCTCAATCACGGCATCAGAAGGCTGAGACTTGGGGGTTCAATCAGCCCATCTATTCCTGGATCCTGAATGGGCGACGCTGCAACCATGATGACGAATCAAGAAGAGGATGCATGAGTGGAGAAGAGACCTCCTCAGCTGCATCGAACATGAGCCTATCACATATTTTACTCACCCTACTCTGCCAAAGCTGGGTTCGAAAACGATAACACAGGATCTGTGATTACGAATCCCTCATTAAACTCAGACAAAAGATTGGTAGTTGCAACGAATTCGGTGCGGAATTTCCCATCCGCAGATAAGGTGAGGAGCACGAGCCAATATCTCTCGGGATTGCTTGGTGAATTACGTGAAGAGTGAGAGACGAGTGGAATGCCTTGACCTTGAGCTTTGCAGTGCTGGCCGCTGGCTTTAAATCCAGCCTGGTTGAAGCGAGTTGTGGGAAAACGCCAAATAAAGACTAAGTGATATAGTTACGGATCTATAAATAAAATTATTGGAGTACTTTGAATTTTCTATTTAACATGGATTCCAGAAGATTTATTTTCTGAACAATGTAAGAAAAAACCAAAAAATTGAATAGGTGGGATGATCTGAATTATCTATCCTGCAGATTCTATCTAAGGAGGCGCAGGCTGATCTACTACTACTAACTAGTAGTAGGGCGCGCTGGTGGTCACGTGCTGCCAAAAGTCAAGTGCTGCCAAGAAGATCTTCCTGTACGCGTACGGCCAATTCCAACAGAAAATAGTGTTTACTTTAGAGTTTATTCAACACCCGTGAAACCTTTTTCTTCGAACTTTGTATTCAGGTTCCCTGCAACCTAGACACCACCATTAACGTGTTGAGCTGATACTGCTCCCCACAGGCCAAGATGTAGACTTCTCACTAATCAGCTTTAATTGGCGTACCATGGAGCACAAGCTGTGGCTAAGCATTCGAGTAAGCGTTGAAATAAATCTGAGGTGTCTCTTGCAGGTTTGAAAGCGATGCATAGGACGGTGGGGTGATTCTGACCCCCAGCGCCCATCCTGGTGATGCAGTGTTGGAGTTTTGCACTCTACTTAAATAAATTCCCGACATAGACCAGATTGCAAAATAGCATCATGCGAATGCGTCTGAAAAGCAAGCGAATGACCGCTGTGGGCGGCTCTCACACGTTCCAAGCGCATCGCATCACTGCGTGTCATCGCTCTTGCTAGGCCATACTACGCGCTTCTGCGTTCGCACGTACAAGTCGACGGGTCGAATCAGCTGGAAGAACGGATCGTATTCTGTTTCCGTTTCGCCTTCCTTCTCCCGATGATAGTGCCACACGAATTTGCAGACGAAGATCTTCACCTCGAGGAGAGCGAAGTTGAAGCCGATGCACGATCTCGGCCCATATGCGAATCTATCGGCGTCCAGTCAGCGAGGGACCATTGGCCCTCGTCCTGGTTTTGGTACTCACGGAACGTATGCAGTCTTATGACGGTTCTCCACCTGCTCTGTATCCCATCGATCTGGATCAAATCTATCGGGATTATCCCAGACCTTCGGGTTCATATGAATATGGTGTAGCGCAACAATACCAGCGTCCCCTTCCGCAGCCGGTAGCCGCCCGGGAGGATCATATCCCGCTGTGCGGTGCGGCCGGGCTGATATGATGGGTTGTGGCGCCGTTGCGTTCCTTGACGAATTTATCGAGCACAAGAAGGTCTTCAACCTGCTCGGCACTGATGGAGTCGGTGTTGGGGTTGATGCCATGGTCGACCAGCCCCTGCAGGAGCTGGGCCGGGATGCCGGAGTACGTGACCAGACCGTAGATGCACCAGGAGAGCAGTGAGGATGTCGTGGTGAAGCCCGCGCCAGTAGCCACTGTTACCGCAGACACCAGGTTCTCCTTCGGCAGCTGTTCGCCTCTGCTGTCGGTGGCGCGTACGAGATAATCTGGCCTGCGTTGAGTGCGCTGTGCGTCTTGAGAAGAGGAGTATCGACCTATGACATTGGCAGCCTTCAGAGCAGCGTCGTGAAGCGGTAGGTTCTCAGCTCCGTTTGACTTGGCGTCGCGAATAGCTTCAAGTTCTTCAATCTGTGCAGCCAAGAAGTGCTTGAGGTCCCTGAGGCGCACCGGATCGCCGAAGGGTAAATGTGCATACCACTGTCCATGGCTAGCAATCCTTTTGTTAATCGCAAGAGACTCGGCCATGACTAACCCGAGCCGGTGCAGGGGTGCGTCCACACTGCTGAAGTGGTTCAGATCCTTACCTAGCATGATCTTGCCAACTGTACTGGAGCTTAGCTTGAGCATGTATTGGTACACGTTCCAAGCCTTGCCGCGCTTCTCTAGCTCATCGAAGACCGGCCAGGCTTCGTCCACGCAGTTGTTCATTGTCGGCGCGTAATGACGAACGGCTTTGGGCCCTAGAGCGGGCGGCATGAACTTGTGCACCACCTTCCACGAAGGATCGTTCGTATCTCCAATGAACACGCCGGCCTTGTTCTGCTTGATTGGGAAAAGGGGATGGCCGGGGATGATCTGCTTCGAGAAGAAATGCGTTTCACTGAAACAGATCAGGGCAAGCTGGGGGTCATTGGTATAACAGTTGGTGGCTCCCATGAAGTTGGTCTGAAAAATGGGCCCGTATTTCTCGATCAGCCGCTGATTGTTGCCTAAGTGGTCGGGGAAACACTACGCTCATCAGCGTGTCCAGCAGCCCCGGGTTACGCATCGTCTCATACCTTCGAAGTAGTTGCCCAACGAAGGGCAAGCCTTGTGGACCTGGCACGTCCCGAATCGAATGCCCGTCTACTTTCACGGAAATCGGGCCGTCAGAGACCTCCACCCCAGCCAAATCGGAGAGGTCTTCATCTTTGAAGTGGAAGGACGAACCTGGTCACATTCAGCCAGCGGATTTCTGTCAAGAGCAACTGTTCTGGGCTACCCTCTGGCGGTACGACGCCCATGCTTTCACCGAGGAATTGCTTGCGAGCATCCAAATCTGCAACATTCGAGATGTCGACATCCACACCTGACTTTTCGCCTTCGCCTGAAAGATAAAAGGTCTTGACAGCCATGCTGCGCTGCGGGGAGACACGAGTAAATCCTGAGTGGAATGAACGGGAGTCTAGACGACAATGAATGTTCACAAGAGCAGCGTAGTGGCGTGCTTGACATCAGAGACACGATGTTCAACGATTGCGAAGAGCTCAAATCCGTCCTCTACGACTCAAGGTTTTGTCTTCGACACTGCGTACATATCTACATACTCAACCAGAGGCACGTGAAATCACCGTCTAGCCATTAAAGGCAGCGTGATCATCTTCTGCTGCTGTAGCCCTGCGGAATGTCTGGCGAAGTATCTTCGCACCTGACCCGCATGCCCTCTGCTGGGGCCCAGAGTGCATTCTCGTATTTCTCTGCCTGATTGAGACGAATGAAGAACCCTACATGAGCTCAAGGTTTATTTATTTACGAAGATGCATACCCCGTAGCTAACTGCATATGAATATCGCCTAAGTACTTGCCACGCTCACAATGCAACCGACGAGAAGAGCGATGTTGTTGTTGTTGTCTACGGTAACCTTGGGGACGCACTGGAAGCCCACGAATATCTTGCATTCGTCCCTTGTTGACCCGCGAATCTTTCGAGACTAGACCTCCACAAGGCTAAACCCATCTACAATCAGTGTTGATTCAATGGTTCACCTACTCAGCGATGTGTGGTTGGCTTTGCGATAAGGCTTCGACAGGGTGATGCAGACTAGTCAATGATGAAGTGGAATATGGCATCGTGGCATCGTGGCGTCTGAGACCGTGCACTGCAGGACGGAGCAATGTTGCAAGAGGCACCAGGCCAGCGGTCAGCATACCGCTTGAGCTTCTTCGGGGGGTGCTTTTCGGTGGACTCTTGAAGCTCTTTGCGATTGCCCCCTTTGTCAGATGGGCTATCATCCAATCTGCAGTCTTGTACACGCTCATGCTACACAACAGCGTCATCACCAGACAACAAGGAGCTTAAGGCTGGCAGGAGAAATGAAGTCCAAGTCAAGTCGTACAGCAAGCAAGAGGTGGCCAAGCACAGTTCAAAGCAGGACCTCCGGATCAGCGTCCATGGCAAAGGTATCATTCTTCTCAAGCCTAATCCTCAAGTCTGAGAGGCCCTCTGCTGAGCTGCGTCAGTCTACAACGTCACGGAATACGCGAAAGACCATCCTGGCGGATGGGAGGCTTTGATCGAAGTAGCCAGCCAAGATGCCACCAGTGCGTTCGAGGATGTCGGCCACTCCGAGGATGCCAGAGGGATCATGCACGCCTACCTCGTGGGCGCTTTTAGAGGAGCTTTGCCCGAGGCCCCCGAGGCATTGAATCCGAGTCTGTCAGGTGTCGCCCAGGTCGTGCGAGGAGCTCCCACCACGGAATCTAAGAGCGGCAGCAGCAGCCTGCTCAACCCGCGCACTGAACCTGCAGTCTTCGCAGTCGCAACAGCGGGACTTGTGTATTTCGTGAACATCGTACATGGACGGCCACCGACATCAGCGGGCGGACCCCCAGCTCCAGGAGCACGCTAAGGGCAGAGCAGCTTCATGCAAGGGTTCCTCATGGCTAGCGCTACCCTCGGCGCCATTGGCCTCGCCAGTGCGCGGTATCTGTCCAAGAACGACAGCTTCGGCCAGGGCTTCCAGTCTTACCCAGCCCACATCCAGGACGCGAGCCCAGGCCGTTCGATCTTTCGCCCCGCCGGCGCGCTCGCGCCCACCGAGTACCGCCGGTTCAAGCTCAGACACGAGGAGGAGCTGTCGGCGGGCATTTTTCGCTTCGTCTTCGCGCTGCCAACCAAGCACGCCATCTTGGGTCTGCCCACAGGGCAGCACGTTGCTATCGCGGGTACGGTGGACGACCATACCGTGGTGCGCAGCTATACGCCCATCTCGAACAACCGTGATCTGGGACGGCTGGAGCTGCTGATCCGCGTGTACCCGGACGGGCACATGGGAATCTACCTGAAGGGTCTCGACATTGGCGACGAGGCGGATATTCGTGGGCCTAAGGGCGCAATGCGGTATCGCAAGGGCATGAGCCGAGCTATTGGCATGGTTGGCGGGGGCACCGGCATTACACCGCTGTTCCAGCTCGTGCGCGCCATCTGCGAGGACCCGACAGACGGTACGCGCGTCAGCCTCGTCTACTGCAACCGCTCCGAGAAGGACATCTTACTCCGCGAGAAGCTGGATCGCTTTGCAAAGAAGTCGAACGGCAGTTTCGAGGTCTACTACGTGCTAGATCACCCAGATGCGGGCTGAAGGAGGCAAGGTGCTACGTGACGAAGGATATGCTTCAGGAGCGCATGCCACAGCCTGCAGATGACACGAAGATATTGCTGTGCGGACCGCCGCCTATGGTGAATGCGATAAAGAAGCATTTAGTGGAGCTGGGCTTTAAGGCTCCGGGAGCTGTGGGTAAGATAACAGACCAGATATTCTGCTTCTGAGGACTGTACTGTACGCCCAGCTGGCCAGTTTCTCTGGACACCTAGCTGGCTGAAAGCAGCACCCCTTGGTTGGAGTACGAGACGCCACTTTGCAGCATTACTTGCACTGCAATGCGACTGTCGTGCTCGCCCAGCTTGGACCCCATTGTCAACAAAAAAACAATCAGTTCAGCTATTGTGGCTGCAGTCAATTTAGTCCAACATCTGCAATATGAACCCGGCCACGGCGGACTATTAGCTTAACAACGAATGACTTGGTTTGACTGCGCAGTGCACTTGATCGCTGAGTACACGAGTGCGCCGCACTCGATTTCTGTATACCTCGCACTACAACCTCATATGATGGCTGACGCTGACGCTGTCGCTGTCACCTTTTCCCCTACGCAGCTAGTATGGCTGACGCGTAGCGTATTAGCATTGAACACCTGCATTAGACTTGTTGGAAACGTTGTAGATCCTTGTTAGGTATAGAATGAGCCGCTTTTTGGCACCCAACCAGACATAAAGCACCTCAAAGAGACCTAATGCGAGTGCTGGCACTAGATCGTCAAGCGTCAGCCATATCGACTACGTACTACGTAGAGGATACCAACTGCGTAGGGGCTATAGAGTCGTGTGTTAGCCGTTATGATTGGCTTGACCAACCTTAACTTAGCCACTGCCAAGGCACCTCTTTTTCGAAACTGGAGAGCAAGCAACTTTTCTCGGTTAAAGTTATCAAAGTTGCGAATTTTGCGTATTGTATAGGAAAGGGCAAAGGTCTTTCCCACAGTTCTTGAAGGTATACTTTCTCATCTTCGCTGCCTGAAAGTTTAGAGTTCCTAATTTGGTGGTGAAAAGTGGACGGAAATTTTTGACACCAACTAGTGCGACAGACTGGGAACATCATCATTAATGGCTCACGATGCGACGGAGAGCCTGACTTGTCCTGAGTACTGGGATGAGCGCTACGCCGAGGTGGGCGCGGATAAGCAACTCCATGAGTGGTTTAGGTCTTTCAGTGACCTCGAGCCTTTTTTCGCTCGTCATTTGTTCCAGATACGAGGACCAGAGACGGCGCTGAAGATCCTGCACCTAGGATCAGGAGACAGCGTAATTGTCTAGAACTCGTGGCAATCAAAAGAGGCTAAATCCAGCGCAGACAATACCACAAGATCTTGCGAGAAAAGGCTACAAGAACCAACTTTGTGTCGACTTCTCATCGGTCGTTGTGGAAAACATGTCTAAACGACATAGTAAGATTGCGGGCATCCTCTGGCAACAGGGTGACGTCCGCCAGATGGATCAGATTCCGTCGGAGTCGATAGATGTTGCCTTTGATAAGGGGACATTAGATGTTTGGATCCATGGCAGCCCCTGGGACCCGCCAGATGATGTTCTCGACAATACTGCGCGATACGTTCGGGAGGTACGTTTGAAATAGTCCCTTTTACAGGTTACACTACTACGAGAATTGCACCTCACTTACCCTGTAGGTCTTTCGTGTCCTCAAATCGGATAGCATGTTCATCTACATAACATACCGGCAACCTCACTTTATAAAACCTCTTCTCAACTGTCAAGGCGTTGACTGGGACATCAAGATGGACGTGCTGGGTTCTTCTGACAGCTCTTTTGATTACCACGGATTTGTCCTGACGAAGGTGATGCCACGAGCCGCGGATTCAACCGGCAACGAGGCCGAAAAGAGAGGCTCCAGCTGAATGTTGCCAAACGGATCGCATTCTTGGTGTTAGGGATCTGAGCCTAGATTGGGAGCGATAGAGCACCGTTGTGGAGAGTTGTGCGGAGCAAGACTTTCAGGTGCCTTCCTTGGTAGATAGCTAGCTAGCTAATAATTGTCCTCGCCGCCTTGGAGGCGCCTCTCTGAACAATTATCATAAACACCACGTTGTTGCTTGTTCAGCGGGTTTTGGCAGTCAGGCCGTAGTGTCTGACAAAGACCAGGCAGTAAGTTGAGACTCTGCCAATGGTCTAATAAATCACGAATGAATGTCCATTGAAATTGACACTGGACTTGTAGAAGGTAAGAAATAGACACGCCTCGTGGCAATCTGAAGTTGTATCGTCCTCGATGCTGACACTGAAGGGGCTTAAAGACCACTCAATACTCTCTTGAGGCTCACTTCGTGCCGCGGCGGACGAATGTTAGATGTTCCTGTGTCGAAATTGACGACACAGTGTTTTGGAGCGCAAGATAATTTGTTTATACCTCTTAACCATGAGATGAAGGCCTTCAGCCCACAAGCTTCTGGGACAAAGGAGGCGCCTGTACGTATGGGACGGAACCCATTCCCAAAGAAAGCACTACACCAATTGGTAGAAACATCTGAACGACGATTACACTGTCTCCTTTCGGTCATTCATCGGACTGCCAGATTCTCAAACGCCACTCGTTGTCCAAACTAGCTCTGATCTCCCTCTTCAGTCCCCGCTTCTGTCCTTGGGTCACTGTCTTCCCCTTCAATGGCATGAACCTCATGCTTGCCTATAGCAACCATGTCGAAAAATGATCTTTGAATTCGTCAACAGTCTCACCACAGGATCCCTGCTTATTTCTTGTTCCGGATAACAGTGGCTTATCCATTTGCAAGGCCTGCTACATCTCCGAAAGCCAACGATTTCTCGTGAGTAGAGTTGCAGCTCGAAAAGATTTTGCGTACCTTGCCTTGCTCACTGCATAGCTAAACCGCGCCTCAGCAGCTGTGCCACTGGCCTCTTCATACCTATTCTCAGACCCTCCGGGCAATATACCAGCCGCCAGGCACATCAATAGGTATCTAGCTAGACGAGAGCTGCAACACTGTGTTCTGTTGGCGTCTGAAAATTTTTCTCTGTTGATTTCTTCGCACTCCCAGCTAAGCTTGGGGCTTTTCGGCAGAGCTTTCTTTCAGTACATTCGGGTCCTTTAGATCTTAACCGAGCGTGTTAAGAAAGGCCGGCCTGGTCGCAAGTTCTGCCTTAGTATACTCAATATACAACTGCCAGGGCAGATAATGCTGCTTCGCAGCAGAAATTGGGGGTTGAAAGGGCCTTGACAAACCGCGGCTATCAGATTAATGGATCTCTCGTCGTCACCGCTAAAATGCATCGAAAGAGGGTTTGAGGGAAATACCTTCCAAGTCATCAAATCCGGCTTTCTGGGATGGGAGACATGATTGACTGACAGATCTGTTTTTCGTGGAAAGTCTTAACTCCATCGAAGCGTCACATTTCCGCTTTCAGTTTATCGGCCGCAATTGGCGACCAGGTACTGGATGACCTATCCAAGTTCAGCACAAGGGCATACCTGTATCCTTAGAAACCGGTAGAGCTTGAGCAATGTGATAAGAGTACGACCAGCAGCATCGATCCCGGATCTTTCACAGACGCAGAGTAGACAAAATTCGCCTGCTTCCCACGACGTCACTCTTTGCCTCCTGTAGCAGCTCCGTAACCGTTACAAAGCGATTGCCCCTCCGCCGAATCTGAGGAAGCACATACCGTAGCATCGAAAGCGTCCGGCTCCTCCTATCTTGACAAGTAATAATCCCTCCAGGCCTCAGCATACGAAGCATATGCCTCGCATTAAAACGCCAAAACTTAATCTGCGCATCATGAGGATAGTCACTCCCAAGAACCAACTTAGGATCCAGCCTGTCCCGTGTCTTGCGCATTTTCTCGTTGAAGAAGCCGGAACCAGGCCGGCAGCACTTCGGCGGAGATTGTGTCTCAACGCCAGCAGTTTGATATACTACGTACATTCCTTGGCATCACCTTCAGGCTCTGAATCTGCGCTATCAGAGTTTCATCACCCAAAGACCGCGAAGCCTCATCGCGCATCACATGATTCCCGACTCATTCCCATTTCGCACTAGATCCCTCAGCGTCTCCTCCCGGCCCGGGACCTCGGATCCAATGACAAAGCACGTCGCGATTGCGTGGTTGGCTTTCAGGATCTGTAGGATCTCGTTGGTGTACTGGGATGGTGCGTCATCGACTGTTAGCGCTACGAACGTTAATGTTGTGGAAGCGCGCCATAGGACGTTTGGCCAATGGGTTGAGAAGTAGCGGAGGAGGAGGGTAGGGGGTTTTGTAGATTATGTAGAATGGTGATAGGAGGAGAAAGATGGTGAGTATAAGGGTGAGCATTGTGACGAGGTGGGGACGGCGGGCTCTTCTGGATAATCTGGTGGGGTAGGAGAAAGAGGTGGGGGATACGATACATTGGCAGATTGATGGCTGATGGTATCAAGTTTTGAAGGTATGGGGCTGCTGGAAGACAGCAGGATCGATCTACTTCATTTTGTATTACTCACGTCGTTGATATGGTATGATGGCATGATACAAGTTTTTCACGATGCGTCACAGAAGACAGAACACGGAGGTAGTAGAACTTGGGCTGTTGTGGTCCGTTGAAACACAAACGCTTAGATCAGAAACGCGTTTAGCAGTGGCCAGCAATGGCTAGCATTCAAGGGTGAGCCGAAAGGGTGGCTTGCCTTTATGGGCAGGTATTGATTTTCTAGTACGTTGAACATAGATGATTTATATTGTTGCTGGTAAGGAGTGAAAATCCTGCATTGAAGGAGAGAAGTGCAGGACGAAGTAACTAAGCTACATCACGTGATCAACCGAATTGGTCAATCAAAATCAAGGATCTCTGCATCGACTATTCACAGTCTGACAGCGGGCAAGGGCGGGCTTTATTCAAGATTCTCCTCAGAGATCCCTTATTGTCATTGATCGATAACTAAAGACCAGATAGATCAGCTTACACATATGCGATTACGTTCCTTCTCCATACCGCTCCCGTATTCGATCGTTTGTGCATTGGTGCCAGACTCTCGATGTCTTAGCATAGCACACTTCCGCTGAAAACCACTTATGGTTTGTCGTCATTGCCTATCTATTTCTTACTTGACTGTCCCGGAAGGATCAAGAACAATTGAGAAGAACGAATCGAACGGCCCCAGGATTCTTTCCAGCGTTCTTGTGCTGACCAATCGTGTCTGATGTTAGCTTGTTTGGCTAGCACGATGGAGTACAGACAGCTCGCCTTTCGTAAAACTGAATAGAGCATAAGCTACAGCGATGTGGGAGAAAACCCGTTTAAGATTTCGTCTCTGTCATGGTCACCAACTCTTATGAAAGCTATATATGTGGTATATACTGCGCCCAAGGTATTGCTGCATACACACCAATAGGCACGGTTCTGAGACTGATGAATGATTCGACCACGATGAAGATGCGAGAGGCTGCACAAAGCAGAATTGCGAGAAGAGGTACGATGATACATACCACAAAGTTTTCAAAGCTTTTAACTCTATGAAATAACAGAGAGCAGATGATGTAGAACCATCCAAAGGCAGTCACGTTTATACTGGCCACCCTCCACAGCCAGCGTTCCTCCTCCGTAGGGAACTCGTAACCCCAAATGCTCAAGTGGATCCCTCCATACGCTGTCATGAGGCCGAGTAGGATGGCGAGCAAGATCCAAGTGAAGGCGTCCGGGGATTCAGAGTCAAATGTCCAAACATCGAAACGATCTTCAAAATCATCCCAATTGAAGTTCATAGCTCGAGAAAGAACCTTTCCTGGTAAGAAATCCTCGAAATCTATTGCAAACGAAAACCTTGGTAACAGATCATTTTCGTCCTCAAAAACCTCCGCCAGCCGCTGGCCTGGTTCGGTTGCACTAGCCGAGCATCCGTGTGCTTTAGTCGGCTGTCTGAGCCCCAGTGTCTCTGTCTCCCGATGTTCAACTTCGATTTCAGGTCCATCCTGCATGTGATGACCTGTCTGACTAGACAGGCTAGCAGAAGAGATGTTGGCGCTTCCTCTGGGGTCAGTCACGAATCTAGTAGTATGGGCATTCTTTTCAACGCCCCTATTTCCCAGCCTAGCACCGGCGGAGATCTCGTCACTGTTATCGGCGTTACACATCGATGTCGTCGGCTCTGATATTCGTGTATTCTCCTGGTCCTCGTAAGCTGGGATCCCGGTAAGCTGCCCCACTAAGCCTGGGTAATCCCTTTGCACCACCCGCGATATCCGCTCCCAGCGAGCAACGTCGCTTCTCGAAAGTGTGAGTCGAATCTTATGGGCAGGGTTGTCACAAGGACAACCTTTGACGTAGCCAAAGTAAAAATTCACCACGAGGCCTTCTGATAGCTGCTGGCCTGATACAAGACTGCGAGTTTCCACTTCTGGAGCGCATTCGACTATGCCGACATTACTACATGTTACTTCCCCAAAGGATGACAACCTGGAGGCGTATTCGGCGAGCTTGACCTCTTTCACAGAATAGGACCCCGAGTCACCGAACCGGATGTCAACCTCTCTCTCTTTCGTAATCCTCAGGCATAAATTGTCAAAAAACTCCTCGTCCAGGTCTGACACTAGCCTAGGCTCACCAACGTTAAGAGGCTTCTGCAGGAGGCAACAGATTAGTCATCTGTATTGAACGATTCGGAGAGCAAGCGGACAAGCGGCAATTCTCAAGCTTCCATCCGACTTGTCACTATACTCCAAGGAAAACTTACTTTAACCCAGAGACCGTACATCACCAAGGCACAAAAGACATGCACGAATGTATGGACCTCGAGGATGGTCAATGGATACCCGGCTACTTTTCGGGCAAGACAATCGGCTTGTCTCGGGAGAGCCATATTCGACAGCCATATTCAGATGAAAATTATTGGGATCTAATAAAGGGACCCGA